AAGTTAAGTATGTTTTTCTAACAAATAAAGTTTCCGTAATTTTGGTGCGAAGAAGAAAAAAGAAGAAGAAACTCAATCAAAATTGGAGATGTTATATCTTAGATATTTAATAATGGATTGCTTTTATATTTAGTATGTGAAGTAAAAATCCAGTAGATCACATCCACTGAAAATATGTGATAGTTTGGATTACCACAGTCCGAGCTACAGAAGGTGGAATATCGCTAAACTGTCACTCCTGTGAATAACACACAGTGTGTCCTGCAGGTTGTTTTTTGTCCGAAAGACACACCACCGTGTGTCTTGGTTGTACAATATTCTGTACTTCTTTCGATAATTATGCTATATGGTATAATAACTGAAGTTATTGTTGTTGTTATAAAAAAAAGTAGTCACAAAACCTTATGATCGTCTTTCAAATTAATATCCTAGCAATTTTTAAACTTTGTTGGAAAATAATTTTGTACGTTCAAGACTTCAAATAGACGAACGTAATACTGTAAAATCTACTGAACTTATTGTTGTTGTTATAAAAAAAAGTAGTCACAAAACCTTATGATCGTCTTTCAAATTAATATCCTAGCAATTTTTAAACTTTGTTGGAAAATAATTCTGTACGTTCAAGACTTCAAATAGACGAACGTAATACTGTAAAATCTACTGAAGTTATTATTGGTAAGGTACAGACTGTGGACTAGTACTCGATGGGCAAAAAAGCTCTATCGCTTTTGCTGAAAGGTCTTAATTGAAAGCGTCTGTGATTAGTGTTAAGTAAAAAACATCTGTTAGATAAATTATTTAATTATGATTGGTGTTCATAAATAAATTGTCTGAATATCAAAGAGTTTCATGCTGTCTATCATTGTAAAGATATGTGTGAGATATCGCACTTAGCACATATTTTAAAGGACAGTAAACAAATGATTCCTTATTATTCTTATCAATGTTTGTGAGTGAGATAAGATGGAATATTCCATTTTAATCATAATAAAATAAAAACCATCCATTTTCTAAGAACGATTTAAAACTGAGCAACTGAAGAACTATGGAATTTCACAATTATCTCGTATTGAAAGTCAATGGCATTTTATAACACTTACTGCACATAACTAGAAATGAAATACGTTGTTTACTATGTATCTAAAAATAACTAGAAATGAAATACGTTGTTTACTATGTATCTAAAAATAACTAGAAATGAAATACGTTGTTTACTATGTATCTAAAAATCATTTTATGAGTTTAAAATCAGTTTGGTAAATTGTATTGGGTTTCACTTGTATAATATTTATAGCAATAAATAACAACAGACGCTAAGCATGATTAGTGATATCCATTTAACTATATATATATACATTTAATAGAAAAATATAAAAAAATTTGCCTTCTGGCAACCAGCCATTATAAATCGACACATTTTTGGTGTAAAATAAATAAAAATGCGATTACTTATTTACATTCATCTTCACATTCCTAATTCAGAATGAAATCAAACTTGGCTATAAACCACATATTAACAAATTAAATAGCCTCAAAATAAAAAGCTATTGTCAACTAATACGAAAAACGTGTGTCTAAAATAATTAGCGTTATGTATACGATACAAACATAACCCAAAATAGAGGTAATGATAAAAAACTAACAAATATGAAATAATTTGTCTACAAAATTAGCAGTACTTGTCTGTTACATCAGATCTGCATAAATTTACAAAGAAACTAGGAAAACAGAAATATTAATTTATGTTTACGAAAAATGTATGTTTTGTTTTAATATGGGGGGGATCTCCTTCTCTGGAATAGTTACGTAAGATTAATTATAAGATAACTTTTTGGAATATATATTAATATTCCTTTTCTAGAAAGTAGGAAAACAGTTTTGTTTTAATATGGGGGGGGATCTCCTTCTCTGGAATAGTTACGTAAGATTAATTATAAGATAATTTTTTGGAACATATATTAATATTCCTTTTCTAGAAAGTAGGAAAACAGTTTTGTTTTAATATGGGGGGGATCTCCTTCTCTGGAATAGTTACATAAGATTAATTATAAGATAACTTTTTGGAACATATATTAATATTCCTTTTCTAGAAAGTAGGAAAACACGATCAGAAAAGATAAAAATAGTATAGTGATATCATCTGGAAGAAAATAATATAAATAATTTTAAAGACCCCCCCCCCCTTTGTAATATTATAATTTAAACCATGATCGTTCTTATATAAATTTTATATGAATAGATGTGCATCAAAAGTTCAATCACAAAATACACACACGTCACTTCATGAAGCAAGTTCGTCTACTCTTCAAACTTATGATCTGGTTAAGACATTAAGATTGTAATAAAATATTAATTTTAAATTAGCTTAGAAAGTATTAACTTAAATTTTAATCAGTTGACACCTTAAACACCGAAATAGTTGTTTTTCATTTAATAAAAAATAGATTATTAAAATTTAATGTGTAATATTAAGTAGCCTAAAAGTTTAAACTTTGATGTTTAATCTGTATTCCATTTCAATGTGTTCCATACTGTGGTTTAAGATTGAGCATACGCACATGAAATTATTAAAATATATTTTCTATTAAATTTTAGTTTTCAAAATAAAAGCATTCGTAAGCCCAGTGAACTAAACCTTGCGGTTGAGCACTACAAAATACGTGTGTAGAATGTTGCAAAATGAGTTAAGTTTTAAACCTGTCATCAAAATAGCACTAACTCAATTCATTCATAAGTTGAATAACATAAGTGAGAAAATTAATAAACAAAAATAAATGCAACTCACAGTGCAAAGAAAAAGAGGAAAAAAATAAGCATATCTTAATCGTTGTGATACGTTTGTTTTATGAACGGTTATCTGAGTGTGTTTGTTCATCTTTAAACTGCAATTAAAGATATAATAATACTCATTTGAAGATCATATCTACTTCATATTTTATTGAATATCAAAAGTAAAATATGCTTCCATATGACTTTACGAACAAATTTATAGCAAGCTCCCCATAACTGAATGAAAGAGGGTTTCCTAACTCTTAGAATTGTATATTTGTTTTAACTAATTAAAATCTTAAAGCAAATTTGAAGTCAAAACACATTGACTAGATCAGATGTTAGATAAGCACAACAACTCAGTCGTAATGCATAGAAACATTAGGCTTAGATTAGAATGTGAAAAAATAAACATTTTCAGCTATTTTAGTGGCTTAATCAGTCACATTTGTATGGAAAATTTATTTTCCCCCCGTTTTAGTTGTAGATGACCAAAATAGACTGTTTGCGTATTACTTCACCCTTCCGTAGCTAAGAATGTATATTTAGTTAGTTATATTTATGGAAAGTATTCTCGTGCAGGTTTCTGCATGTTGTCAGTTAGTATCCATGCGAAAAGGATGTCCTAAACCTATGTTACTCTAGCTTAAATAAAGGTTACATACGGCAAATGATTGTCCAATAAGGCTTATAGTTGCTTGCCCTTGTTTCTGTGTCATTACCTCCTGTAGCGAGATCGCACACATTTCAAGAAGTAGTAGAAGTTAATATAAGCTGGAAGGGTTTATACCTCTTAAATGTATAATCAGAATGAGCGGTGATGTAGACAGTGTAAAATTGTGAAATATCCTACTAGGAACTTTCGTTCTGACTTAACAAAAACATTCCTATTCCTGTGTTGGCTTGGGAAGACACAGAAGGCTTCCTTTCTGCCTTAGCAGCCAGACGCAACATAAAACAACACTGCATAAAGCTTTCCAATTAATTGTTAACAATAAATATATTATTGTGAATTAATATTTTGTTTATTTGTTCACTTGTGTTTGCTTCTTTGCCTTTTTTCTAACGGTGTATGAAATTATTTTTAACTTATCTTAGAATCTGTTGCATCGCGAATACTTTACTTGTTTGTTTGTTTGTTTGTTTTGAATTTCGCGCAAAGCTACACGAGGGCTATCTGCGCTAATCGTGTAAGACTAGAGGCAAGGCAGCTAGTCATCACCACCCACCCCCAACTCTTGGGCTACTCTTTTACCAACGAATAGTGGGATTGACCTTCACATTATAACGCCCCCACGGCTGAAAGGGCGAGCATGTTTGGTGTGACGGGGATTCGAACCCGCGACCCGCAGATTGCGAGTCGAACACCCTAACCACCTGGCCATGCCGGGCCTTACTTGTTTTAAATCAATATAATGAGACTTCTGTTTAATTTGAGCAGCATTTTATAGGCAATATCTCACCTGGAACTCTGTAACTGGGCAATGTTTTTGTTATACCCTATACAATATTATCAGAACTTGAATTTTGCATTCTCTGTAGCTTTTAATAATAAATCGATGAAGTTTGTTTGAAACAGAAATTATTTCTATTGTATAGCTGTTCATTGTACTTCACTGCACTAATGTTAGTTGTAATGCTTCTCTTCACCAAAATCAGTGCTGACTAACATCGTAAATATCATTGGGTAACTGCACTAATGTTAGTTGTAATGCTTCTCTTCACCAAAATCAGTGCTGACTAACATCGTAAATATCATTGGGTAACTGCACTATTGTTAGTTGTAATGCTTCTCTTCACCAAAATCAGTGCTGACTAACATCGTAAATATCATTGGGTAACTGCACTATTGCTTTAATCCTTTCTGTACGTTTGTTTTTCATAAACACACGCATGGAAGATATAACTGATAATATTAAAGGCCCTTTTTACAGCATATACACTAAAATCATATACTGGATTTAAAATGTTGAATTATAATTATGCATTTAGTTATGAATTTAATGTTTATATAAAATAATCAACAGCTACTTACCTCTATATCACTAAAAGGTAAGTTTACAATTTTTATACGTTTTTACTTAATTCAGAGAAACTGAACACATATTTCACCTTTTTAATATCTTGCATTCAAAACAAAAGCTACCATTTTTTTCTCCGTGTCAAGATACATTGTAGCAAAGTAGTAATTATTTTGAATAAACAAAATACAGTTGTATGTGAATAATTAAGTTTAGAAACCATAGTACTACCCAGTTAATATTTTACCTATCTGTACATACATCCATTATCTACAGTAGTTGCTTAAAGATGTACACTGTTGAAATTTGATAGCTTGCTAAAGGTTTATGAGATATTTCCGAATGGAAATACTGTGAGATTCAAACAAATCAGAAAGCGTATACACACACACACATTTAAAACCTGAAACAGGTTTCTCAAAGTAAACCAGTTATACGTTCACTTCTGTTTACTGCAATGGAAAAAAAAGACATCTTTGGTGGCATTTATCTTAAATAAAGTTTTTCGACAATTGTTTAAATAATCGGCTATTACGTTTTGCAAATCTTTATCTAGACGCTTAAAACCCAATGAATAGGCATTCAAAATAAATGAAAAATTATGTATTAAATATTCTGTTACTTCATCCTTAGGATTTTTAATGTTTACTGTTATTTCAGCAAACGATAGTATCAATGGAAAAAAGGCAAATAAATGTGAATGTAAAATGTGAATTGCTTGTTGAACGTTCTAATTTCTAACAAGATCACAAACAATTAAAAAAAAATATATAGAAGCATATGATCCCTTCCGAGTGATTAACATGTACTGCTACTTATTAATTCAATTTTTATATACAGTTTTATTAAAGGAGGCAACATTAGAAAATATTGACTGGTTCACTTATATTGTAAGATCTATCCATAAGAAAAACTTAGCTCAACACCTAGATTAAACAAGTCATTGATACTTATTAAGTTCACAATAATCGTTGAACTTCGTATTTTTTAAAGTAACTGATGTTTTCTATTGTTTAAGTTGACATTCAGTTCTTAATGAAAACTATCTAACAAGGCTTCTTAAAATGTGTGGATGCTTAGTTCCATTTTCTATCACATATTTGGAAGATCAGAAGGTGTTTGGATTCTGCAGTCTAGAAAGCCTGATTATAATTCCCTATAGAATAATATCAACACTAGACATTCTGGAATGGTGTTACACTTAGCAGTAGAGGGCTAAATGCAAAAATAAACAAAATAAGGAAACTGAGTAACATGCAGTTGTGTACTAGACATTTGCTGTTAGAGGACCAAAGTATGGATTGACGAAAGTGAAGCCTTGGAACTCCCTCCCTGTCAAGTTATTGATCACCACGCTGTCAGCGGGTGTCAGGAATTTTTTGGAACTGGTGAAGATTGAGTCAAAATTTTCACCTTTCTTGGGGTTTTTCTGTACAAAGACAAAAAAAAAAGGAAGTAAACCTAACCAAACCATAAATACAACAAATACATGTATATAGAAATTATTTTCTATAATACATGTACAACTGAAAATGTTTGCAGCAACGTAAAAGTTTATTGTTAAAAACGAAAATGCAAAGCATTAAAGAAACAAAGAAGAGTATTAACATGCAGCTACATTCAAGCTAAACCATTAATGTTATTTGTTGTATAAAACATACAACTCAAAACATATTAGAACAAAATCTGTTGATTCATTAATAGAATTTTTGAGTGTCTGAAAAGATTAATTGGCTCAGGTAATTTTGGCCTAAAAATATTTTTTTATATTTTTTTTGCAATGAAAAAAGTGTATGGTTATTGAAATGTTCATAACTAGTATTCAGTAGAAATGGGGAGTGGATATAGAGTTACATAGATAGTTAATTCCTTGGTCACATACCAGTGTGTGTATATATGTATATTTAGACCTATATGATATAATTCTGCTGAATCAAAACTTATTATTAATATATGCCTCATTCACAAAGTGTATACATCCTTACATAAGTACAACATGAAACAGACTAAATGAAGAGAAATACATCACAATATAAGTATAGTACGAAACAGACTGAATGAAGAGAAATACATCACAACATCAGTATAGTACGAAACCGACTGAATGAAGAGAAATACATCACAATATAAGTATAGTACGAAACAGACTGAATGAAGAGAACTACATCACAACATCAGTATAGTACGAAACAGACTGAATGAAAAGAACTACATCACAACATCAGTATAGTACGAAACAGACTGAATGAAGAGAAATACATCACAACATAAGTATAGTACGAAACAGACTGAATGAAGAGAAATACATCACAACATCAGTATAGTACGAAACAGACTGAATGAAAAGAACTACATCACAACATCAGTATAGTACGAAACAGACTGAATGAAGAGAAATACATCACAACATAAGTATAGTACAAAACAGACTGAATGAAGAGAAATACATCACAGCATAAGTATAGTACAAAACAGACTGAATGATGAGAAATACATCACAACATCAGTATAGTACAAAACAGACTGAATGAAGAGAAATACATCACAATATAAGTATAGTACGAAACAGACTGAATGAAGAGAAATACATCACAACATCAGTATAGTACGAAACAGACTAAATGAAGAGAAATACATCACAATATAAGTATAGTACGAAACAGACTGAATGAAGAGAAATACATCACAGCATAAGTATAGTACGAAACAGACTGGAAGAAGAGAAATACATGAATACAGTACAAAACAGACTGGAAGAAGAGAAATACATGAATACAGTAGAAAACAGACTGAATGAAGAGAAATACATCACAGCATAAGTATAGTACAAAACAGATTAAATTAAGAGAAATACATCACAACATCAGTATAGTACGAAACAGACTGGATGAAGAGAAATACATCACAACATAGGTATAGTACAAAACAGACTGAATGAAGAGAAATACATGAATACAGTAGAAAACAGACTGAATGAAGAGAAATACATCACAGCATAAGTATAGTACGAAACAGACTGAATGAAGAGAAATACATCACAACATCAGTATAGTACGAAACCGACTGAATGAAGAGAAATACATCACAATATAAGTATAGTACGAAACAGACTGAATGAAGAGAAATACATCACAACATCAGTATAGTACAAAACAGACTGAATGAAGAGAAATACATGAATACAGTAGAAAACAGACTGAATGAAGAGAAATACATCACAGCATAAGTATAGTACGAAACAGACTAAATGAAGAGAAATACATCACAATATAAGTATAGTACAAAACAGATTAAATTAAGAGAAATACATCACAACATCAGTATAGTACAAAACAGACTAAATTAAGAGAAATACATCACAGCATAAGTATAGTACGAAACAGACTGGATGAAGAGAAATACATCACAGCATAAGTATAGTACGAAACAGACTGAATGAAGAGAAATACATCCCAACATCAGTATAGTACAAAACAGACTGGATGAAGAGAAATACATAACAACATAAGTATAGTACAAAACAGACTGAATGTAGAGAAATACATGAATACAGTAGAAAACAGACTGAATGGAGAAATAATAGAATATTTCAGAAAGAGAAAGACAAATGAGAGTAGATTTTCAGTATAAAATACTTGCACTATATTTTTTACCTGTGACGCTATATCAAAATATACATTACTTATAATTCTAGTTTTAATTTACTTTCACATATAACAATACTACCCAGACATATCTCTCTTCGTATTCTGCACTACATAGAAAATGTCTTATATTCATCATTGTACTTACAATTTTTGGTTTAAAGGGAGGTTGAACTTCCTTGTTTTCAATCTTGTCCCAGTCTATTCTTCTAAAGAATGGGTGACTCCTGACGTCTTCTTCACCTGTACTGTCACAACCAAGACGCTTTGAAGGACTCTTCATTAAAAACTAAGTAAGGAAGAAACAAATGAAACTACTTAAAACACGAAGATTGATGTACACGATACAGTTTATTTATCATATAAATACAACTTCATTATCCCAGAAATAAAGATGATAATTAACCAAATATTTTCACAGTAATTCTAATACCTTATTAAATTTAACAAATAGAATTCATTATTTGGAAAAAAAAGAAAATATACCCCTTTACATGCTTCCTTAGCCTCCTTTGAAAGAAATTTGGGATAAGAAACGTTATGGTCAGTGATGGAAGCAAATAATTCTTCTTCGTCTTCTCCATCAAAAGGTGGCTACCAAAATGAAATAATAAAAAAACGTTTTTATCTTGACGTACTTTTTTGTTTTAAATAAAGAAGTTTTTACCCTTAAGTCTTTCAAAATGTGTATATTTAGCTTGCTTTTAGGATATATCAGGCTATTTACACTGCATTATTTCACCACCAGCTGAATTTTAATTATATACAATTTCTGAGATATAACAAACGAGTCATGTGGAAGAACCAATGTTAACACGTAAAATACTCGTTACAACAGTTTGTAGCAAAAGTTAAAAAATAATAAAATACAGAGAAGTTTTCAGTGCATCACAGTATATAGTTATTAAGTGAATAAAACCACGTTTATTAAAAAAATAATTGAAAAGGGTTTAAAAAATTAAATAGCAATGCAACCAATCTTTGAATATTTAAGACGAACAGCACATATCAAATAGAGATGAAATAAAATACGTTGAAACAAAGTTAGCCTACATTAACAACAAGTCGACAATTTTCTTTCAAAACAGTACCTTTCAATTTAAGAAATATTTTCTAGCATCCAATAATTAGTAGCAACCTGGGTTGTATGGGCAGTAGAGGAGGACAGGCTAATTCATCCAAGAATTAGTTAGTTTGTTTCCTTGTTTATAGTTACACACAAAGCTACACAATGGGCTAGCTGTGCTCTGCCAACAAAAGGTATCGAAACCCGGTTTCTAGCATTATAAGTCAGCAGACATACCGCTGTGCCACCGGGGACCCAAGAAATAGTAACAGATGAGTGGGATGGGCAATAGAGGAGGACAGACTAATTTTCTAAAAAAAAAAAACAACTGTTCGAAAATAATTGTTTTAATTCACAATGGCCTATGAATGTTCTGTCTCTATCTCTGAACGTTTTAGTTGTCTGAGAGATGATTGTTTTCAACAGGTCTCTCACCAACTGTGGACTTTATATTTGTTTGAGAACTATCATTACGAACAACGGCTCTGTCTTAACCTGCAGACTATATCTGTTTGAGAGCTAACATTGCGGACAACAGGATTGTTTTAGCCGGCGAACTTTATAGGAGTTTGAGAGCCAACACTGTAACCAACATGCCAGTATTAACCTAGGGGTTTCATTTCTGTTTGAGAGCTAACATTGCGGACAAAAGGTCTCTCTTAACCTGCGAACTTGATAGCTGTTTGAGAGCCAACAAGCCAGTCTTAACCTATGGGATTTATTTCTGTTTGAAAGGCAAACACACAAAGAACGTGACAGGTTGGTTTCAATAAATAGTTGGGTGAACTCATTTGTTGTGCTTCTAAACAATAATAGCATAAATAGTAATTGCATATTACATTAACTTATCCTTATCACAATTTTGTAAAAATATGACTGATGAGATTCTATCAAATCCTTTTATCAATTCATTAGTTTTAGTTTCAGTATTATTAACTCATAATATTTCACAAACTTCTTTCCTCAGTTTTGATCAGAAAGTTATTATCAGTCCAGCAGATAAGAACTCAAAATTGCTAGAATTGTGAGAAAAGCATGAAAATTGGCATAAATGTAGATTTTTATATTGAGGTTTCTATGAAAGAAAAATCCATCGAATATCGTGCTCCAACCAGCCACCATATTAGGTTCCAATATGGCTGTCATCGTAAACCAGCATTATTCAAACTATGCTCTTCAAATGCATATAGAAATATCGTCTAAATATTCCAAGTCTACCATAGACGTATAATTTCATATAGAGATTAATGTAAAGTTAAGATCCATCACAGATCATGTCCTAAACAGTCGATATATTGGATTCCAATATGACCGCCGTCCAGAACTACCACTACTCAACTGTACTCTTCAAATGCACATATAATTGTCATTTAAGCATAAAAAATTGGCTCACTATTGAAAAGGAGCATAACTATATGATTTTAGTATTAATAGAAGCGTCATCTAAAAACTTAAACACAGTGAGTTTGGTTTTAGCACTTTAATAAATTCATTAGTCAATCTAATTTTAAAAAACGCTGCTAATCTTACTAGTTTGTTACTGCATCTGAAAACCAAATGGACAGCAGCAAAATAGTAAACAAAAAGGAAACAATTATTGTTATTTGTATATATTTTAAAGTTTCACTATGCACAGAGCATTGCCAATTTTCCAAGCATATGACAGGTTCTGACCTTCTTTTATGCATTCTTGTGTGGTAATACTGTTTTAGTCTTCTCTGAATAAATAAATAAAACTGTATTTGAGACATGGAAGGCATACCCTCAAGTGAGAAGTCTAAATGTTTCAAGAACACCACAATAAATCACGCATGAAGGATCTTGCCTTGATAGAATGGTTTACTGTGTTAACGTACAG